GTGAGGCAGCACATCTGTTGCTTTGGACATTTAAGCTGGAGTGCCCAAATCTGTCAAGGAGTTTTCCTAGAATTGCCTTAGCTGTGACAAAGCAGGCACGGATAGCTGTGTGCTGTTTACACAGTGGCTTCAGCGATGCTCCCCTTTGCCATTGTGCTTTGTCTTGTGAGATACAGATCCATCTCAGCATGCAAACGATTGCCTATCCACCAACACAACAGGCTTGTTGTCCACTCTATTTATCAATAGTTTCTGTTGCCAGTTGCCACTCTGTCAAAGCTCTATGTCACTGCCACAGGGTCCCATCCCATGCACAGGTGTTCTTGACGATGTGTGGCTGTGTAGGCACTCTGTGCAAAGTGACACATGCGAACTGATAGGGACTTTGGGGGGAATGCTATGCTGTGTCCGCAAGTGAGAGGACCTGGGTGATCCTACCACCACGAGGCAGCTGTGGAATACTGTCTTGCAGAGAGTTTTGGGCACAGGGCACCTATAACCAGAATATTGCCGTGCAAAACTGCTAGCAAACGACCTCAAAAGAGTCATGGACACACACAATCCTCGTTGCATTTTTTTGGGTTAAGGCTGCATGTGCACATGCAAATCCACAGGACAACTCGCATTTCCTTTACTGCACGTTTGTCCACAAGTGGGCTGGCTTTATCTGAGTACACTCTCACTAGACAAAGCAGGGCACTGGTACATTGTAGATGGCCATGGGCATACGAGCAACATGCCTTGATGGTCGGGCCCATTGATCGTCCTGTTTGTGGCAGAGATGCATTTCTTTCCAGACAACTCTTCCATGCCTCCCCTCAGCTGCGAGACCCCTTCCAGGACAACCCCTCTCTGAACACCTTGCATTGCCTGTGTTGCACAGGATGTGGCCAAGCTTGAGGGCACCTCATACAATGTCATGCTGATGAACAGCGTTGTGCTGTACACTGGCATCCTGGCCATCCGCTATGTCCAGAACAAGCCAGGGGCCTCCCTCGTGCAGTACGGGCCCGCCATGGACATCTTCCACAAGTTGGCCAACGACCTGGACACAGAGGGCCGCTACCTATTCCTGAACGCCATAGCCAACCAGCTGCGCTTCCCAAACAGCCACACCCACTACTTCAGCTGCATCCTTTTGGTGCTGTTCCTCGAGGCTCAGCAGCGTGTGCTGCAGGAGCAGATTACCCGAGTGCTGTTGGAGAGGCTAATCGTCCACCGACCCCACCCTTGGGGCCTGCTGATAACATTCATCGAGCTTATCAAGAACAAGCGATACCGGTTCTGGGAGCTGGGCATCACCAGGTGCGCCCCTGAGATCGAGCACCTTTTTGAGTCTGTCGCTCGATCGTGCCTACCGCAGCCTCCAGATGAGATGATCCAAGACATTGCAGTGGTGTCTGCGGTGCGTGCACTGGAGTGAGGGCTGTACACCGCTTCTGCCAGTGAGCTGCGTTGCAATATTGCCACAAGGGACGGCCAGAGACTGTGGCGATGTTCAGGCCTTGCGCCTTTGTTGGTACTTTTTGTCAGTAGCCCCGCCCTTTGCATGAATTTTCTGTATTGGGGACAAGCCTTTGTTCGGATTGGATATTGAGACGCATTGGTGCAGGCCGGAAATGGTGCAGTGTGTATGGACGCTGATGAGCAGTAGTCAGGAGGCTGTACAGTGAGTTTAGGGGGTGATGGGCTGGAGCGCATGTGAAGCAAGTGGAGCGATGCAATGGGCTTGCAGGGGCCACTGATTGTGGGGAGGTTTGGGGGAGGGCAGCCGCGTGCCCTGTGTGTGGACGCTGGAGCTGTCGGGAGGTTACAGATGTCGGCGTACCTGGAGTACGTGTAGATGTGAGGGCGGAATCCTGGTGAGCAGAGAAGCTAGTGTGTAACACAGAATTTTGAGTGCATATTTTTTTTAAGACTGTGGGCAAAGCGAGGATTGGGATTGGTCGTTGTGGAGGTGTACTTTGTAACAGGACGGTGCAATTATTTGAACGGTTTAAAGGAACATTTCATTTCAGTTGTGTGCTTTGTGTTGCTGTGTGCGCCACCTCACGCAGGGGTGTGCGAGGCAGCATGGGCTTCACTTGCCCTTGATATTGAGCTGCTGGAGAAGCAGTTTAATCGGCTGCGGACCGCTGCAACGAGTCACTCTATCGATTCCACAGATGCTGGCACTTGCACTCTAACGGAATGAGAGTCAGTAGTGAGACACCATTTTGTTCTGTCGCACTTGCGTTCATTTTATTGGCTTGCTGCCTGTGTGCGTTGCAGATGGATAGCGACAGAATGAACGCACGTGGGACGTTGAAACGTTTGGGAATGTACATAAGTCTGTCAACGCCTGGAAGGTGAAAGAATCCCACTTTGCCTTTTCAAGGCAATTTTTGGCAGAGGAATTCGGCATCGCGGTCGAAAGTACTTGCGAAATATTTGAAACCAAGTTGATTCAATTGAACCAATCAAGCTGTCCTTAAACGCTAACCTGACGTGAGCTTCATTCAATCATGGAAGTTGAAGCAATTTGCCAGTCACCCCCTGCTTAGATTGCCGTGAGGTCTGAAGAAGAGACGCGTGTGGCGCTATAAATGACCTGTTGGGTTATTTGCCTTCCCTCCCTTAGATGCTAAAAAAAAAGCCTACTGGGAATCAATTTCTGTCCCACCTCGGGGCGCCTGGGAATCAAGGACATTCCTCTGCAAGCACAAAATGTGCAGATGGTGGGCACAGCCCTTGCCTTGACCTGTGACGTTTCTGGAAACGAAAAGGAATGGAAGAAATGCAGTACAGCATTGAACCATTCGGGAAGTCTTGTCCTTTCAGATAGTTAGTGAGCGGCGGGAGTACAGATCGAGGGATAGTGCGACAATCCCTCGCTATTAACCTGCCTCTGCTTTGAGAACATTGGGCGGGTGTTTCTGGATGAGCCGTGGGGCCCTTGTCATTGGCCACAGTGGCGTTCGACCAGCTCCTCAAAGGAACCACGCCCGTCCGCGCTTGACCGTCAACGGATCGGCCGGGCATTTCTGGCGCCGTCCGGGGAACGTCGAGCTGCGCCTCTGTGTTGTTTGGTCCTCTGGGGAAAGCAGAGAGTGCGTCGTCTACGACTGGTCTGGTGAACCCAGCCCTTATGAAAAGGTGAGGCGGTCGTCTCGTCTCCTATTCTGCCCATGTGGGCGAGTGCCGTTGCCGAAAGTGCGTCCTCAGGCGGTGGAAGACGCTGTTCTCCACATCGGCGTTTGTTGCCGAAGTGTTTCTTGCGGGCCGCGCGCAACCAAAGGGGAAGAGTGTACTGAGAACCTGATCATGTCGACATCAATTGCAGATGGATTGATCTGGGATTGCTTTAAAAATCATATTCAATGCAGAGTCCTGCCTTACGAAGTAGACCAACACAAATGCGAGACTGGACATCACAATTTTTACCCACCAAACACACCAGCGCATTACAAAGACAGGTTAGGCCAATCAGTGGACATCTGCCTCCAAAGCACACATAAAGATACAGGAAGATTCATCTCCCAGATGGGATACCATTCTAAGGATAATGTTGTGAGATTCCCTTTCAAGGTTGGTTGGATTAATGAGACTGCATTTCTGAGATTCTGTGAGGGCTCTGACAGGCATGGCATCTCCAGAAGGCACTTGTGGAAGAGAGGTGCAACAACCCCGATGTTGCAGATGCAGCGATCTTGGTGCAACACCAGCCTGTATTCACGCTTGGAGCTGGCAGCACCCTCAGCAATCTGAAGTTTGACCCATCCCATCCTCCACTGCCGATCCATCGCACTGAGAGGGGGGGTGAGGTGACCTACCATGGTCCAGGACAGGTGAATCTGGGCATTGCTGTGAGGCCCCATTTCCCTGACTTGAGAGCCTTAGCTGTTGTTATTACATGTTGAGCCTACCTACTGTCTTCTTCATCCACACAGTTCAGTTGCAACCTAGCCCACCTCTGATGTACACCTGCACCAGTGACTAGAAAGCAGCAAAATGGTCTGTTGGTTTCCATCATCTGAGTCAACATATGCCATGCACATACAACCGCTATGCAACATATTTCTGGAGCATGTAGCAGTGCGATGCGAACTCTATTCAGATTTAGATCAGAAGCTTAATGTGATGTTGCGCTTGTATGCATCTGTCTTGTCAATGCAGCAAGCTCCCGGGTGGGGAAAATAGGCAGCCTAAGATGTTGCTGCAAATGAATCCCCAACATATGTGGACAATGTAGCATGGGCCCAACCCTGTCGTTTCACCTTTCCACTGTCTCTCTTGTCACCGACAATTCTTCACCTAGTGCCATACGCATCTCCCACACATTCTCCAGCAAAGTAGGGTGCTGCTTTGTTGTGCCATCACACTTCAATTTCACATTTTGGATGTGTGCAGAACTTGCATTCAAAATGAGTGCCTTCAAAAGACCTAAAGAACAAGGGCCAATGTACCTTGCAGGTGTTAGTAGGTGTGTATACAAGAGAATCGCGATGTATCCTCAGGAAAACAAAACTTGGTGGTCTGTCATTCCTGATTTGTTGTATCAAAGTTTGTACCTCGCATTAGAAAGTTCAGTTGTCACCAGCATCCGGTACCTAAGGTTTACAGTCCTATTTCCCAAATGCAAGATGGTGCGAACTTAACACAGGCTCCAAAACGACTGCTCGTGTGACTGCAAAGGCAGGAACTCGGAACTGCATCGTTTCAGCACTGTGTGGAAAGGATTCCACCGCGTCACACACCAACATGAATCGTATTGCTGCGCCAACCAAATGTTCTACCTGGTTCTGTCAGTCCCAGGCTTAAAACACAACCCCAAGTGTAGTGGCAAACTACCAACGATGCGATGTAAAAGCCAATGACGACATTGCTTTTGTTGCTGCTACCACACACTCCTGCCGTCTATTTGCGGGCTCTCTTTGCTTTGTTCTATTCACTTCTAGTTGTGCTCTGTTCCTTTTCCTCTTTGTCTTGTGCGATGGTCTTGTTAGCACTCTACTATAGTGTAGACATCAATTGCCACTGTTATCTCACAGCACGTCATTCCTGAACAGTGCATGGTCTTTCTCCACTACGCTTTGGGTCCCATTGGCTTGTTGACTGTCATCTTTTTTGCTCACTTGCAGCTTGTCCTGTACCCCATCCTCAACCTGAGACGGCACAGACGCGACCTGCATTGGTACCTAAGGGCTCTTGAGGGCACTGCCATTGATGTCCTGGACCAGGTGTCAGGTCTGGAGGGCAGCAGACTGGATGGCCTCACTGGCGTGTGGGTGGATGGCAGCAAGGTGGCCGCTATTGGCGTCAGGGCATCCAGGTGCGCTAGAACCTGCCCACTGTTCTGAAGGTTGGCACAACTGTCAGCGGATTGGGGCGACATATCGAAATCTAACAAACTGCCCTTTGTGAGCTTTTGCATGTCAGGCGATCTGGTACTTGCACATGTGGCATGGTTGTTGTTCAAACCAGTTTAGCCAAATGAAATGCATCTGATGATTCAGTGGAGGCATTGTCACCTGTGCACGGTCCTTGGCTCAATCGAGCTAGCAAGCAAGATTCCGATATCATGTTTTACTCAATATCAAAGGTGCCTGGGCTCGATCAATGAACACGTCGAATGCATAGGTGCATAGGTGGCGGTGTTCAATGCACAATGTTGTTTTCGATATCAGGACAACTGCACAGATCTATTCGATTGGAGACCTAAAAGTGGTAGTTTGCAACCATTACCAATGTTGCACAATGGCATTAGTCGCCAAGCATAGTACTGCCATGGTTGGGCAGTCCCTGTGCGTGGGGAACACCGGGACCATTCAGGGATGGATTGTTGGTATATGGATGTGCTTGAGGATAGTTGGCAATGAATAGAGATGCAAACACTTTTGGGGTCTCGACACTCCATGCATGCTGATTGGCAGCAATGACGGCAACGTTCTGAACGCAGCACATCGCGGCAATTGTGCCGATTTTCAGGTGTCAATACCCTGTATAGTTTCTCATGAGCATTGCTCGTGAAATGTAGACTTGTTCACAATACAAGCAATGAATATGTGAACCAGACACATTGTGTGGTATCCAGTGCCTGACTTGAGCACCCTGTCAGACAAGTATGTTGCAAGCACAGCACTTTGTTGACACTCGTTCATCAAAACTTTGTGGTGCATTAAGATGCACAATACTTTGCTGCTGTGCTTGGCTCATGGTTGGCCTCCTTGGCTGCGCATCAGGTGGGTGACATACCACGGTCTGTCACTCAACGTCACCAATGACCTGTCGCCATACTCGTCCATCGTCCCGTGCGGCATCCCAGACCGACCTGTCACCACAGTGCAGGCCATCCTGGAGCAGGACGCCTGGGAGAATGACCCCCTGCTGGAGCCTCAACCCATCGATGGCACACAATTGCTGGAAGAGTACAAGTTTGGCCTGATTGACGCCTTCTTTCGTGCGTTCGACCTGAGCGGTATTCCAGCTGCAGAAGGTGATGTGAAAATGGCTGATTTGTTGCCGAGACAGTGGTAAGTACCTGTTCATCAAAAAGGGCAACAGGCAATGCAACTGGCCAAACCACCCATGAGCAGGATTGGTGGTATAAAAAGGGTGCTGTGTGCTGCCATTAGAAATTTTAGCACTAAACTGTTGCACCCTTGGTGCATGAAAGTTGGAGATAAGAATTGCTGTGCTCATTTGTGTTGTGCAATCGGCACCGAAGATGAAGGCTGCCGCAATCTGCAGTGGTGCCCAGCAAATGTGTAAGGAGCATATTCTCTGGAGTCCTCATTCTGGCAGTGCTAGCTCGAGGTTGGGCCATTTCAGAAGTGGATGGTGAGCTGGGCGGTCATTCCATACCCATCCATCCAAGGAGAATGTTCCCAGTGGCCAGAAGAAGGGGGGCATACCTGGCTTTGTTTGTGCAGTGCCCAGCTGATGCCAATAGGCAGTTAGATCAACATCAACAGAGGGACCCGCAATCAACCAACTTGGGGAGTGCTGTTCCAGAATGTGTGATACAGATGGCAGTTGGTACCTCTGGCATTTGGAAGTGGGCTGCATGTCATTTGAGCACGTTTAGGTTCAGGGACACGTGCCCAGGCAAGGACACAGTGTTTGGACAATATGCACGACTCTCGCATCACGAGACTGCCTGTGGATCTTGGCTTGGGCATGGGTCAGTTGGGGTCGGCCTTATACTGTCTATGGCATGACAGCAGGCGTCGCTGAGGTTGGCAGGTTACCTACAGTGGCTATGAGACATACATCAAGCCATTGCTAGGTGAAGCTTTTTCTGTTCCCAAACTTTGCATATCAATTGAGATCAATGCAACCTTGTTTGTTGGGATATGATGCAAATGAGAACCCGATCAGTGGAGAAAAGGTAAGCCAGGACAGCTGCCATTGTTGGGGCTTGCCGATGCAGAGTTCAAATTCTTTGATGGGATCAAGTGTGCTGTGATGTGGAGAAATGCGTCCTTGCAGAGTCAGAAGGCACGATTGGGAAATGCGAGAAGCCGGTAGTTGACATGTGTGCAGCATTATTTGAAATATGGATTGCCTGGGCACGCAGACAGGAAAGACATTCCGTGCATGGCATGCACCTTTTGGTCCAGTGCCTTGAGAGCCCACCCTTGCCCTTTGTTCAATTGTACAACCAGTATTTTAAAAGCACAGCCCCCGAACAGGGTTCAAATCGCACGATCTGCACCAAGTTCAATACAAGGATCAAGGGTTCGCAAGATTGTAATTAAAGTGAACCACAGATTTGCACTGTCAGTCCATTCAGTTCGTTTGTCAAAAAATAGTGAGAAAGTGCCGCTCTTGCACCTGCACGATGATGTTGGGCGTACCTCCACACATAACCCAGAATACGATTAGCATGGACACCACGACGGAAACAACGTGCAGGGCACATTGTGCGCCAGAGTAACAATGCCGACTTAGGGAATGCCAACTGCAACACAGAGACCAATGCGATGTACCTGATCTGCCAGGCCCCTTCTCGGAATGCTGAACTTCTCGGTTTCTTTCTTGAGACTCAGCATTCTTTTGGATTCGAACAAATCGAGGGCTTTACATCGCCTTGCTCTCCCTTGCTAAGTGGCACAAGGCCCATATATCTTGCGATAGGACGGGGGAGACACCTGGACACGAAAAACGATGCAATGTGATGCCCGAAAAATTTGCCGATTGGCAACGCACTTACCGTGAAATATGCAAGCCTTCCGCGTAGTAACGCAACGCTTGACCTTTTCTGCGGAGCAACGTAAAAACAACTAAAAGTACGCTCTGAAAAACAAAATGCGGAGCAAAAGCGTGACGATAAAAGTTTCTGAAGCGGAAGGGTTGAATATTATACTGTAGGAGCCTCCATCCTCGGCAGCTACACAAAGCGGCACCTGTCCAGCAGGTTCTCCCTCCCCCACAAGCCCAGCCGTCACGCGTCTGAAGCGGTGAAATTTCACGCAAGCTGCCCTGGCACGCGACAACTACTACTGGAACGTGGCCAAGTTTTCGACGCCGAAAGCCCGAGTTGCCCATCCAGACGGGGCCAAAACCGGCGCGCCCCCCCCAATACCTGCACCTCCCCCGTTCGAGAGGCGCCCCGCCCCCAGCGCCCAGCCCTTGGCGACAGGCGGCGAGCCCTGATCTCGATCAAGGGTGAGCGGCCGGCCCTTCGTTGGCCACCCAGGGGGCCCGGGGTCGGTGCAAGGCATGGCGTCCAGCTGGAGCCAGAGTGTGACCGTGGCGCTGGTGTACCTGGCGGCGATCGTGGAGAGGGCGGACGAGCAGATCCTGCCGTCGCTGTACTTCTTCATTGGCAAGTCGCTCAACGCCACGCCTGCAGACCTGGGCGCGGTCACACTGTGCCGAGCGCTGGTTCAGGTGATGGGCGCCCGCTTGGTTGCTGAAAACGTGTCGAGGCGATCGGCTGCATGATCTGACGTGAAGTGGACGCTGGGGGTGGTTTCTGGGTGTGTGCTGGTTGGGGTGCACTTACTGAAACTGGGTTCCGACATCCGGATGGCGGTCCAGGGGATGGGTGTGCCAGGTGGGAGGACATGACTGGGGTGACATCTCTCGGCGTTTGGGTTGGTCGGGGGTCCCCGATGTTGGGCACAGAGGCAGGTGCTAATCGAGCTGTGAGAGTGGGTGGCAGAGTGTCGACTCGTGTGTTGTTCCCTGTTGCATGCTTTCGTTCAGTCCAAGAACTAAGCTCAATCCGCTGAGCTGAGCTGGTGTATTACATCCCTGCACAGAACAACAATGAATTACGTCAATGTCATCAAATCGTGCAGAACAGTTTGTGTGAAGGCGTAGCTGGTCCCTCACGCACAATGCAGCTCCAGAAGCTCCAGTGTATCTGCAATGTAGTATATCTGCAAGGCCAAGGCGACTGAATCCACAGACAGATTTCCCCTTGGGAAAGGGGTATTCATTTCAGAGCAGGCTTCCATTTTCTGACAGGACTGGTAGAAAGAAAAACTGGCCGTTGGCTCACTCTTGACAGGCGATCTCCTCCCCACTCAGTGGACTGCTAGGAGATCGATACGACAGGACGTTAGTCATCGCAGGCGGCTGCTTCCTCTGGGGAATAATGACAGCGGCATTGGGATTGGCAACTTCCATACGTGAGGTGGGCGTTTCTACAGGCATGGTGTTGAATTGTGTAAGATCGATCAAAGAATGGCAAAGGGAGGGTCAGTGAGGGCGCAGGCCACCCACATAAGGATTGATCAGCCAATATTTCCCCTTGCCTGTGAGCAGTGATGCGTGAAGAAGATACACAGGTGCAGCACTTTCTTGCACCCTCTGTGGCCAGCCCGATATGCCCCTCACTGGATTGCGATCATGACATTTGTGCGATGGTCAACATGTTGCCCTGACTGGTGGACGTGCAATGACTGTACACCATGCATGAGACAGCGCAAATCACACAAGTAGAGCTGCAACACTGACGTGCCTGTCAACTGTGTCATGTACTTTCACACTTGCAACAATGCTCTGTCTCACAAAAAAGAACACATTTAAACTTCATCCTAATCCTACTATCACTGGGAAGCAGCAATCATTTCATGGCAACAACAATGCTGCAGATGTCCCACAGTTGTTCCATGTCAGCTGTTCATCTGAAACCTTGAGCCATGTTTTCAAATCAGAAGAAAGGGGAGCTCTTGTGTATAGCAACCTGTGGCATAGCATACCAACTGGCAACAGCTGCCTCCTTTTATGCAGAGCTAGTTGTGTGCCAGTCGTTTGTTGGTGGTCTCTGTTTACAAGAGGGTTTGCAGTAGGGATCATGCTGGGGCTCGTGTGGCCTGAGCCCCCTCTTTTGTAGCAACACTTGGGGCCTGGGGATGTGCACCTACAGCAACATGCTCTGTCTCCAAGTCTCCCGATCCCAGCACCCTCCTTCCCCCCAAATTAGCTATTTCACCCCTTGCCTTTTTCTTCGTTGTGTGTTCCATCTGGTCATCTTACAGATTCCCAAACCCTTCTGCTGGGAACAAAACTTTTCGATTCATTTGTCAGCCCATGAGTATGCCCCATGCCTCCTTTCACCAACAACAGTCTTACAGCCATCCAAGCATGATCCGAGCAGTTGTGTGCTTGCAGGCCATGGTGTATGCGGCTTGCAATGGTGTTGGCTTGGCCCTTGTCATACCTTGCAGCCAAAGTCTAATCGCCGATTTCTACACACCTGAAGTGCGAGGACGAGCATTCGGCCTGATGCAGCTCATTGGTGCTCTGGGGGTTATGTTGGGAGGTCTCTTTGCCACGAATGTTGGGCACTACTCCCCAATGGGGATGGAAGGATGGAGGTTTGCTGTTGAGCTGGTGGCTGTGTTGAGCATGATCACAGGTACAGCATACCGCAGACTCAAAATTGTTTGACGTGCATAATTAGTCATGTATCTTGTAACTTTGCAAGAAAATTGTGTGCCATCAGTTTGTCCAGGGCATGGTTCAGGCCCAAAATTTTGCCTGCCAAGTCAAGTTTTCTTTGTATAGAATTTGTTGTGCACTAATAAGACAGTACTGCACTCACAGCAATAGTATGATCAACATCTATATCCAGAGCTATCCACAGCTGTGATGGCCTTAATGCTATGCTTGCCATCTGCTCAGCACTCGCCTGTCTGCAGGTTTCCTGGTGCTTAAATATGCTGTTGATCCTCGACGGCAGCACCTAGCACCCAAAATGTACAAACCTATCCCACAAGATGAGCCTTCAGATGTGGAAGCAAAGGGTGAGGCAACGAAGGGTGAGCAACACAGGGTCACTCATGCAGTGACCAGGGGAAGGTCCAACATGCCGACCTCGCCCATTGGCAGAACCCAAATGGGAGGAACAGTGCCAAAGGCCACAAGCCAAAAGCAAACACTGGGTAAGACCGGATGGATGCTTCATTGCGTCATGGTTCCTGTCTCGCTTGCACTTGCTTTTGCTTTGTCAAGTCAATGCCTTTTTGCATGCTCTGCACTGCCTAACAAGTGCCAGTATGTTTACTGTGTATTTGCTGTGATTCAATGTGTGCATGAATAAGCAACCAGCTTGGCTGCAATGCAGCAGGCATGGATGCGAAACGGAAGTGGTTTTTGGTGTCCCCCAGGTGCCAGAGTCACTTCCCAGCCCCAGGATAATTCTTTTCTTTTCTGTTTCCTTGATTCGATATTGCATCTCAACTATGGTGTCGTATTGTGGGATGGAGAAAGGCACCAGAAATAGGGGAAACTACAAGGAGCATGGCTCAGTGACCACAAGTCGATGTACAAGCATGTGAGCTGCCGCGTTTACCTTCCAGTATTCATGTCTCGATGGAGTGAAATCATGTGAGCTGTTGTGTAAGTTCATGCTTTCGTCCTGCCTGACTGCAAGTCCAAAGTCTGGAAGCTCCATTGCAATGCTGTGGAGAAATGCCCCCACTGGGATCCCAATCGGATGCCTTCAGCACACCATCTGCCACCATTTTGCACAGCAGAGGTGTTGGCCTTGCAGTCCTTGAAGCCCCCTGCACAGCTTCACTGACACCATCGCAAATCTTCATTGAACACATGTATTTGCGCGCACTTGACTTTATATTTGTTACAGTCATTCAATGGTGCCACTGTAGTAGTTGATTTACACTTGCAGTTTTCTTTCAATTTTTACATGATGAAGTTTGGCGATGTTGGCACATAAGCGCATACCCCCACCCCCACCCCCACCCCCACCCCCACCCCCACCCCTCCCCTTCTCTCCTCTGGCACTGTTCTGGGCACAAGCACAGTCACTGACGAGCCGATTTTCCTGCCCGGTGAATAGCCAGTGTTCTTTCGAATCTCCATAGGCGCCCAAAAGAGCCAAGAGGACCCCCCGCCGTTCCCTGGGGTCCAGCTATCCGCCGCAGGCCCCCTGCTTTTGCGCTCTTTTCCTTTCGATCCTTCAAACTCACTCTGCTCTTGTCCGCCCCCACAGGCGGGGTCTGGCGCGACGTGCGCTGGATGCTCTCAATCCGCACCTTCCAGGCCATCATCGCCCAGGGCGTCGTGGGCTCCATGCCCTGGAACGCGATGGTCTTCTTCACCCTCTGGTTTCAGCTCATGGGCTTCTCCGACCTGGGCGCCTCCACCCTGGTCGCCATCTTCCACATGGGCTGCGCCATGGGCGCCTTTGCGGGCGGCCTTATTGGCGACAGCATGTCCCTGCGCTTCCCCAATGCGGGCCGCATTATGACCGCCCAGATCAGCGTGTTCTCCGGCCTGCCACTCTCCATCCTCCTGCTCAAGGTCCTGCCGGCGATGGGCCTGGCAGGTCGGGCCGCTCCATTCGCCGTAGTGATGTTCAGCCTGGGATTCGTGATCCCGTGGTGCTCTCCTGGCTGCAACAGCCCGATCTTCGCGGAGATCGTCCCAGAAGAGATGTACTCCAGGGTGTACGCATTCGATAGGTCGTTCGAGGGGGCAGTGGCGGCCTGCGCAGCGCCTGTTGTGGGGATCGTGGCTCAGAGCACGTTTGGCTTCAAGGGCTCAGTGGACACCGGCAGGGACAGCGGACCCAGCGAGAATGCGGGGGCGCTGGGCAGCAGCCTGCTGCTGTGCCTGATGGCGCCGTGGAGCATGTGCCTGGTGCTGTACACAGTGCTGTACTGGACCTACCCGAGGGACAGGAATTTCGCTAAAGAGATGAAGAGGAAACTGTCGGTGGCCAACCTGAGCGAGAAGGGGTAAGGGGTGGGGTGGGGTGCCTGTCCCTGGTCAGGATCAGGATTGGGTGGATGGTTTGTGGGGTTCCCGGTGAGTGCGCAGAGTGAGGGGAGCCAGGGTTTGTGCCGACCGACTGCCAGCTGCCATTGCGCTTGCAGGGGAAATAAGAAGATGGGAGGATCGGCGTGGAGAGCTGTGGTGGAGTGTAATTGTACGTATTGTGGTGGCCGCTTGGGGGCGCGTGCCAGGCCAAGCGCTCGCAGAGTGATGGATGGATTCTTTGCATGGGGCATGGTGTGATCATCAATCTTTGATCATCACATTTGGTCTCGTTCTTCCCCTAACCTACTGCATTTTCTCCCTCTGGCCTGCCAACTACAGTCTGCAGTTTGGATCTGTTATTATATAGTGGCAGTAGGCCACCAATCCATAGACAGCAGCTGCTGATCAGAGCCGTTATTAGTGACGCTCTGGTCATAAGTGGCTGGAATGCTGGTGTAGTATCAAAGCAAACCTACCCAGATCTCTGCGCTGGCCCAAGATCAGTTCCAGGGAATGCTTCAGACGTCAGCTAACGTCTGAAGCGAAGAGTAGGCGTCAGATCCAGCACCACGTCGGAATGCAGGACGCTTTGTGGGTTGCGTCTTGAAGGAAGCCGTGACAAAAAAACTACTCTTGGTATCTTGCATGCGATGACGGGCGCAGAATCATCCCATCGGTGTTTGGTGAATGTCCCCAAATCAAATTCGCGTGTGGAGGTGCTGAGGCGTCATGCAGCTCTCGACAAGTCGTGGAATGACGGGCTCGTGCTCCTGAAGTACTGGCGCCCAGTTTCCTGAATTCCTACACTCTGGTTGCTGCTATTGCTCGGTGGCCTGGGCGCCTTTTGAAGGTCTTCTCTACGAGAGGGGATATCACTGTGGTCCAAAACAGCTGATTGGGAAGTGCAATACCAGCACGGCACTTTGCCAAATCTGGCAGCAACAACGTCGCCAGTCAATTGTTCCCAGCACAGGACCGTGATTAGTCAAACAGAAGCATGGCACCAAGTTTGGTTGCCGGCTTGCGAGCAGGGCAACGAGCTAGAAGGTCGATTAAGACTTGTGAAGTAAAGTGGACGTGGGATCGCGGGAGGGACACAGCCCTGGACGGTTGACACCAGTTCCCTGTGAAGGGGATAATCGCAGAATAAAGTAACCGCGTAGGTCATTCATGCGACTCGGGTGACTTGGGGATTGGAGAAAGAAATGCGCCTCACGAGCCGACCGTTCCGCACCGTACTCATGCAGAAAGAAAAGCTTCTTCTTGCAGCGCTGAAACTTGCGACGCACGTCCCTCGATTTTGGTTCACCGTAGCACAGTTGTCAATTTCCTGCCGTCAAGGGCCCCTGTGTGCATTTCCGAGTCAGCCAAGTTGCTAGAGACCACCTGTGCTACCTCGTTGCCTTGTCATGTAAAATGAATGAAGTCGATACTGGTGAAGCTGCAACGACACCAAGTACAGCAATCTAGTCCAGAATTTGAACGGCAGTTGTGCCCTCTGTGTCACGCAGCTCCAGAAATTGAAATTCATTTTATCTTCCACTGCCATGCTTAACATTTGTCAATTCTTTTTGGACATCGCAATGCCAAGCCCATTTTGCTTCAGTTCCCGCTCGCCATCTGGTAAAGACACTTCTTTTGATGTACTATCATCGATAGGCGCTTCTTGGCGTTAGGAGCTCATAGATTTCTGTACATTTTTGTGTTTTGCATTAGATTTCACCGAAACGACCATAGACATTCCTTTGCTCGGGCAAAATAAGAAGCTGACGGCTACCTCATTGCCTTGTTATGTAAAAAACAGTGATGGTGATGATGATGATGAAAGTGCTCATCTCCTATCGCATTACTGCCTCATTTACTACCTCATACTTACGGATACCTGCTCGTCTTGTTGCGAATCGATTATCACTTTTAGGCAGCGAAATTTCATAGTTCGTACATTTAGTTTGTATTCTCCTTAGATTCCAATGAACCAATCACCGACACTGCTTTGCTCAGGCAAAATAGGAAGCTGACGGCTACCTCATTGCCTTGTTCTGTAAAAAATCATGATGATGATGATGATGAAAAGGTGATGATGATGAAACTGCTCATTCACTTGCAAGATGGAAAAATACAGCAATGTGGCATTATTTCTGCCTGATGGTCGATGGGCTGCGGGGAAGCTTTCGACTGTGTGTCTTTCTCCAGCGGTGCCTCGAGCTGCCTTGACCGCAACGCAGGCGCGTGCCGGGGGCGTGCCCTTTGACCGCCGGTAGTATTTGAAGGGACGTGGAAATCACCTGCAGAATTGACCCGTGCTGCCACGTCCCCTTGACCCGGAAAGTTTGTCAGCTTGCCGGTGTTTCCGGCTATAAATCCCCCTGGCGCCTGCTCCACGACCACGTTTCCGCCCTGGAGCACCTCGCGACTTTCGAATCGGCACGGGCCTTCGAACCTGGGAACGGCAGCGACTCCCAGACGCGGAGAACTTGAAAGACTTGCCTTCCCCATCACGGCGAGGGAGGCGGCCTTGCGGCGAAGATGCAGCCCTTCGTCGCAGCTTGGCGTTGAGCTGCGCAGCGCGTTCGTTCCAAAACCTGTTTCTCTCAGCGACACCAGTGACAGCTCCACACAGCTTTCTCGCTCCAGAGCCGAGGGGCCTGCAGCTCGCGACCCCGTCATGCAAGCTTCTCCTGTGCGCACGTTTTTATGGAACTTGTTCGAATTTAGCAGCCTTTGACTTTGGCGGGATCCCACACTTTTCGCAACGCACCACCCCACGAGGCGTCGGCGCTTCCACTGTTGCGGGAAATTGAATGTGTATGCATTTTCTGTAACTGAACCGCGGCGGGACGCGCATTTGCAAGTTCGCTTAATATTCGTCACGCGGCGCATTCGTTATTACTATTTACGTGAAACGGCCGGCTGCTCCCGCCCTTTGGGGCAATCAGCTGCACTCACACCGGAATTCCCAATCAAATCCCTTTAGTACAAATACACTAATGTACAAAGAGAGAAATCCGGAACTCGGGCATGACAGTTTTGCCTTTTCGGTCTGCGTGTCCCTAATGCTGAGGCAACAAAAAAGAACAAAGTTGCTCGACTTCGCAGCAATGGCCTTGACGACTGCAGCGAATCACAACAAGGGCCGGGTACAAGCGAGGAAAATCGCCTCATTCTGCGGCCTGGCGCAATCGGTCGGTCTGGTCCCCGATCCAAGTTGTCCAGCTGCTGAGAAAGCGTCGCGGCCACCAAATCCACCGCCACGCCCGCAACGACCCCGGCCTCTGCCGGCGAAAGAACGGCCCCAGCCACGGTAAGAACCGTTATCCGCAACACGACGGGCGTCCGCCTTGGTCTGTTCTTTGACGATTGCCTGGCTCAAGTTCTTGCGGTGTTGGTCGACTGCGTCACGCACCATTGAGGACGTGAAGTGTGCGTCCAAAGCGTCCAGCCGATGGCTTAGTTGAGCGACCTTCCAGACACCTGCCGCGTCCGTGCCCGCAAAGTTAGCGTGTAGACGGTGCACGTTCAGATGGCCCATGCTTTGACGGGTGATGTGCTCAAGGCCAGTGGCAATGGGGCCAAAGAGCTGGCGGGCGTCTCCTGAAAGGGCCGGGTGTGCAATGATCTTCAAGAGGTGCGCAGTGAGGTCGACTAGCGCAGAGACGACAGGGGCCCAAGTGCGATATTCCAGGTAGAATCCGCTGCCTCCTCCAAGAGACTGACGAATCTTTTGTCCCTGCGCAGTGTCAACGACGTCAAAAGCCTCGCCCCAGCAGCGTTGGCCAATCGGACCGGGCACAGGATTGAGATCCAAGCACGGGATGTGCTCGTGTCGTGAGACACAAAGGGCGTTAAGACTCGCTGGAGGGCCCTCTGTACAGAAGCCCTGGCGCAGGCGCAGCAGATGGTCCGACGCAGCTTGTTGCTCCGGTGTAAAATTTGCAGGGGCCTCTAGTTGCAGGTTCAACCTGCCAACTTGGCCAACTTGGCAGCACCAAGGATCCTCTCGGTTCGATCTAGGTGTTGAAGCAGTTGTTGCAGATCCGCCATCGATGGGAACACCGACAAAGTGTCGGGCAGTCACAGCGCTCCAAAGTGCTGTAGAGTAATATGCGTCTTCGACGTGCCCGAGTGCAGACCATGTTGCCGCGAGGCAACAAAAAAGGTGGCGCTCACTGGCGCGCGTCCCCTTTGGCTCCTCCGTCAGTGAGTCCAGAAACCGGAACACAAAATCCAGGTCCAAGCTGGCTGTCCAGTCACCACTGCGCGTCCCCGCGCCTGATGCTCCGTTGCCGAGTTCAAATTGTCCCATAGTATCTAAGAGAAGCGCCGTCTCCCGTTCATCCAAATCTGGTGCTTCCCACCCTGCGCCGTCCTAGACGTAAATGCTTTAACTACGCTAAAACTGCGTCTCTTTGTAATTGGAGATACAAATCCGGTGCTGTAACATAGGAATAGCACACAAACATCCTGCTTGCACAAGTTCGATTATACGGCATAGTACGGCACTGCACGCTAAACTCCACACACGATCTCCAGCCGGTTCTGGCGGTAGTCTTTGATTTTGTTGGTGAGATTCATGCAGATTTCCCCCGAGGAAGCTGCGGCGCACCGTGAGGTTGACGCTGCCATCTGTATTCATCATCTTGTTCCATTTACAAGCAGCTGCGAGTGGAATCAGAAGGGACCCAATCAGGTTGACATCAGCGGAAGCTATCACTCTGTAATATTCCATCGAATGCCGCCACAGCATCCAAGAGAACTAGAGGACATATGTATGCATGTATGCAGCATGTGAGTGGTTGCGGGACAGAACTCCGAGCCTTACATTCAGAAACCTTGCTCCGTTCCAGCTTCTTTGAACTTCATGCTTTTTCTGCATCATAACAACTTCGAATTGTTGCCAGGACTGGAAAAAGCATCAAGCGAATACTGAAAATGGAAATTTGAATTATCTACTGCCTTAGCGGTTTCCACCGACTTACGTTCAT